CCCAACTCTTGAAAAGATTCTATAGACTGAAAAAGCCCCAGGCTGAAAGGGCTGGACTGCCTTGATTGACATGGGGAAGGGGGTTAGTAGACTATGTGTATCGCGGCAGCAGAGGCTGCAGCCCACCGTGTGGTTTTAATGACCCAGCACGCAGGGCAAAAGCATTTTGCACAGTGTTTGTTTTCCTGTCTTGCACTTACAAATAAGGTCTATGGGAGTAGCATGGAAAACGTTTGCTGTTTTTCCCTTTTTTTTTTTAATTGCTTTTGTTTAAAATTTGATCGCCTTAACTACTGTAAACATAGCCTATTTTTGTGCTTAAGATACTGAATGGAAAACTCCATTGTGTGTTGCTGGACTGTTTTGGAAATATTTGGTCAAATGTGTGTTAATTTGGCTGTAATGGCATTTAAAGCAAACAAACAAACAAAAAAAGCTGTGAAAATGGCCTTGGAGCATTATCTTTAGTTACTTGAAGAGTTTCTAGTTTTTTTTTTAAATACAGTTTATGTTAAAATAATTTTTATTAATTTAGAAAAGACAATCAATGTCTGTGAGAAAACGGACTTTCTTTTGGATTTATTTTGTGGTCATTGTGAGTGATTGCTTTTTCCTTTTATTAGTTTCACATTCTTCCTTTGTTCTAAAACTTAGGCTGACATCTAGCTTCGACAATCATAGTATGTTTTATTTTCCTGAGGGGGGAATAACTTATAATGCTGTTTAGTTTTGTACTATTGGTGTGTTGGTGAATTTTTAAACTGTGTGCTAACTGCAATAAATTATATGAACTGAGAATTTCTTGTGTGTTATTTTAATTGTGATTATGTACTGCTTAGATCCTGAATTTGTAGGTGGCGTCTTATTTTTAATATTCTATTCAAAACTTAAGAAATTATCAGAATGCCTTAAATCCTTTAAATGGAAATGTGCAGACTTTTTGCTTCTAGTCGTTTATGAAGATACTACATGCACATTTTAAAAATGTGACCCATTTTCTACAACCTAGGTCAAGAACGTTAAGGTAATTCCCTAGAAATTTGTGAATCTGTGAGACTTCAAGTTGCAGCATGGGGTTTTCATAGTATGCTGTACAACTACTGATCCATACACCAGAAGTCATTTTCATGAATAATTTTGTCCTAAGTTGATTGGTCAAATCTATTCTTCTGTGTTCTGGTTTAAGTGGAAAATTGAAGGAGACCGGATGTCTTAATTTGGAAGACTGCTTGGCTAATGACTGGAATTCTAGGCAATCGAATTAGCAGGCATTCGATTGTTCAAGATTTGCTATAGACATCCTTTTTGTTGCTGGGAGAACTCAAAAGTTCCCAGGTTTTAATTCTCAAGTTGTAATTTAAAAATGTAATGAAGCACAGGCAACCATTGAAAGAACTGTGTTCCCTAATTATTGTGATCATCCCAACTTCATGATTGTCTTGTTGGGCGTGTCAGGGGGAGAAACTTTGCTGGTTGACTTGATGGATTGACAGCACTCAAATGTGCCCCACGGTATGGTAGAGGAATTGTCACATAAGTATGCAGGGCCGGCATGGACCTGAGAGAGTTGTTTTAAATCCTGAAATCTAACTGCCCATAACTTCCAGCCTTAAAGACACATATGAAAATATAGTTTTACATTACTACTGTCAAATACACTTAAATGGCCTATAGTAAGGTTAATAACATAGAGAAAGTGAGCTGTAAGATACGGAGCTTGAAAATGTACCATTTGTAAGCTCCCTCATGGCTTTGGCTGGGAATCCAAAAAGATTTTATCATAAAGCACAATCAATAATTTACAATTTGGAATCCTACATTTCCCCTTTTTTGTTGAAACAGGGTTTCTGTTACATGAAAGTCACACTTGGTTTTAACCAACCATTGTTTCACATGAAAGGCGAATGGACGTTGGAGCTCCACAAAATAACTTCTTGAGCTGTTACAAGCATATAAAAAGGGCGGGGAGGTAGAGTGTGTGTTTTCAGTTCCTGTAGTAACTGGTCACAGTCTCTCAAAGCTTCTGAAGACATTGAGTTATAATTTCGTTCCACTGACTGGCATCTAATTTTAAATGAGAATCATCTTAACAAACTTAACTGGATATATTTATAAAAACAATATTTTGACATGTAATTTAGAAGAAATAACTTCTTAAAACATTCCTTGCAAAACTACAACAGAATATTAATTACACAAATTGCCACACATGATAAGTGAAGTTAGGGAATCAGCCGTTTATTCGCTCCATTTAAAGAAAGAAAATTAATTGTCACATAATCCTGTTGGAAACCATTCAGACTGATCCCCACTTTGACATATGCTGATACAGAGGTATATTTTAAATATATAGTTTCATTTACTTTTGAAAACATGTTTGTTTTAGATAATCAGTACGCCCTAGATTGCTGTGGGCCTAGCATTGTGTGCTAGGTGTACCCTCGGGAATGTCCCAGAAGTATAAAATGCTAAGGATACAGACTTGTCATGATTATCTACGAACAGCTTATTGGAAGGTTAGAAAAAGGTGAACACTGTAGTAAAATTATATAATAGCGCACATTAAAATGGCTGAAATATTCATTTTCCAAGTAAATCTTTTGTTTTGAACCATCAAAGAAAACAATTGGTTTTTTTTACCCAAGAGGTAACACTACTTAAAAAATCTTGGCTCTCCCAAGTTTTATCAATAAAACGCAAAGTATATGAAAACTAGACTTTAAAAATGCCATTATCTTAGATAAGAATGAAAAAAAAAGTCTTAAGATCTCAAAATTTCCTGTATCATATGATTACATTTTATTCCTATAAAACTTAACTTAAAACATTCTTTGATTTCTCACATAATGAGGGAAACTTTTACGTACCTGTGGTTAGGAAACAGATCATTTTAGATTTAATCTGTAGATGTTGATCTCAATTTTTGTTATAATTGTTTGTTGCAGTGTTTGAAATTGCTGATAAGGTACAGTGAATCGAGTAAGTGTGAATTTTGAAATCCAGGGCAGAAGAGTTCAATCCTTTCATTACAGTCATTTGCCATTAAAATGCTAGCAATAGTACCATTTCAAAAAATAAACAATAGTTATATTTTTTAAAAGCAAATGGCTTTTAGGAGTTTCATTTTGGCTATAGTCCAAGTTTATTATACTGACAGGATTTGGCTCCTTATGTTAAAAATTTTCTACCTTTTGCCTACAGAAATGTGGCAAAATATCTTTGTATATGATCCTTTGGTTTAAAATGTAGAACCACCTATCTTTTGACTTTAAGTCAATTTAGTTACAGACAGAGAAACATTTTCTGTTTCTAGCCCTCCCCATCCCTTCTTAGGTTTTCTTAATATTATAAAAGGATAGCTAAAGCAATCAGATATTATTTATGTCACTGCAGGTTTTTCGAAATATTAATCCATTTTCAGAGACATTTTAGAAATTATTTTTTAGAATTTTTGCAAACTGACCCCTTAAAAATCTTTACTAATTAATTTTTGTAATTTCTTGTGAAAGAAGCTCAACTCCAAATTTAAAACGTTGTAACAGGAAAGGGTGAGGTCATAGAAATGAAACAGTGGGTTGAAAAGTTTTTCTTTTAAGCCCAAAATACCTTATAAGTATCTGCTTACACTAAATAAATTATTGAATTAATTATCCAGATAATTCAAGTTCAGAGAATAGCTTTTCCCTAAAATATTCAAGCACTTGAAAGAAAACAGAATTTTTTGAGAGAGAAGAATTATCTAGTTAACTTTCCCGATTCTATTTTAACATTTACTAATTTACTGTTAATCACAATCCCTAGGTTTATGTGAGCATGGGACTTTCTTTTGGCTGAAGGGTAGTTTATAAAACAATTCTTCCAAAACTAAAATTTTTCTTCAGTTTTCAGACACTTCTTCCCCTTTTCCGACCTTCTTTAGGAATGGTTCACAGTTGAACATGCATTGTGCTACAGGAGGCCTTCTCTCTAGTCAGTTTGGCAGGAGAAGAGGGAAACCCAATTTGGCTTTAAAATGTAGCCCATTAGTTAGTAAGAGTTTCAGTGAGGATATTTCGAGTGGCTTTGAGAGGCCGTGTGACACCCATAGAGTCCATTTGCAGAAATGACTTATTTACAGTGTGTTATAATCTCTGTAGTTAATCATTAAATCAAGTCGTTTTTATTAAATGTCAATGTGCATGCTTAATAGGACTATATAGGAATTTTAAAAAGTCACATTGGCCTAAATATTGAAGTTTGTTAAAAATATATTTGTAGTTAATATGAAGTGATACATAGAAAACTGTATTTGAATATTGGTAAACATAGGATAGATGAAATCTGTTGTTTCAATACACAATTACACAATGCATACATAATGATCCTGAACTTGACGGAACAGCATAACCTTATTTACGTGTGGTATGCCAAACCAGCGCTAACTCTTGATATGTGACAGAGCTTAAGAGAATGTATCTTAACTATATATGATTTAAAAAATCATAGATTTTAAATCATATAGATTTTAAATTATCATATGATTTAAAAAATAATTTCAACTCTTTTTAAATAAGCACATATTAACTTCATTAAAAAAATCATACTTAATGCAGTCTGTGGTTTACCTTTGAGAGGATTATTAAAGACCCTCACATTTTTGCATGTCTAATGCTCTGAAATGATCTTTGATCACAGTAGGAGCATTTTAGGCTTTTCATCTGAATCTCTTAAATTTATTTTTAAAAGCAGACTAAAAATATGCATATACCTTTTCCATGGCCCATTTCTTTGGACTGTGTCATGTCAATGAGCTGTTTGGTAATATTGAAATACCTCCTGTATGTTACTAGACA